TAAGATTGTATTTAGCGGTAATAATTTGTTTCCAATGACTCAAAGCATCATTGCAAAATCTCCAGCACAATTTTTCGAGGAAACCAAAGTTTTTCAGCTTAAGATACACTAACCCGAGACCTCTGAAATCCACCGGCTTGCATACTTCGTTCCAACTTAACCAATGGATAGTCTTCTTATTTAGCGAGACACCCCATAAGAACCTTGAAAAAATGTCATTCAGCTTTTGCAAACCGAAGCCGACATCCTGAATAAAGACAAAAAAATAAATATGGATGTTAGACAAAACTGACTTTATCAAAGCGATTCTACCTCCAAAACAAAGGGAGATTGATTTCCATCCTGCAAGCCGATTATCCACTTTCTCAATCATTGCCTCCCATATCAAATTGGAGTTTCGAATAGCCCCAAGAAAAAGGTCGAGGTAGCTCAACGCAAATTTTTCCAGCCGAGCAATTGATATTGTTTGCCCACCTTATAGCTTCGCTCTTATCTATATTCACACCATACACTTATTCAAATTCAATTCGAGGCCTAACGCTAATTCGAAAGTTCTTAGTTCCCTTTTTGCATTCTTTTCTTAGGTCTCCGAGGACACAAAAACATAATTAAGTCATCGGCATATTGGAGATGTGAAATCTCCACTATCGTTGAACCTTTACCGACTACACAACCCGAAAGTAAATCAGCTTTGACTGTTTTCGTAATCATCAAGTTTAACGTTTCGCCAACTAAATTTAAGAGTAGCGACGAGAGGGGACACCCTTGTCGAATACCTCTCGCTAACTTAAATCTTTCCGTTGGAGAGCCATTAACAAGAACAAAAATGGAAGTAGAAGAGATACATTCCAATATCCAACAACAACACCTCGAGCCAAAGTCCATCTGCTTCAAGACCCTCATAAGAAACCCCCAATCGACCAAATCATAGGTTTCCTAAAATCAGTCTTGAAGACCACCCCTGACATACCACTCTTCCTTATCAAATCTATGACTTCATTCACAATCAGAGTAAAATCCTAGAATTCCTCTTTCTACCCATCTATTGAAGGGTTGTACACATTCATGAAGCTGCATCTGAGGTTCTTAAATGTAATCGATCCAATAACGGCAACAAACATTCTATTAATAATCCTAGTTGACTCTTCGAAAAACTTAAGATTCCATAAGAAAAGTAATCCTCCTGTCAAGCCTTCAGCTAGGCTAAAAGCCCACTCGAGATCCCCTATTCCCCATATTCTCCTACATAACATTAAGTTCACTTCAGCCATTTTTACTTCCTAAAAGAAAGCCATCTTCGCCTTTGACTTCCTAAGAAATCTGCTGGAAGCTCTTAACTTTTCCGCCCTCCCAAATCCCCTAATATTCCAAGTTACCACAGAGAGATTCATTTGTCCCATAATAAATCCCCACGAATTGATCACGACTTCTGTCAATCAGATCACCCGCCTCAACTCCTCTTCCAAGGCTCGAACCCTTTCAACGATCGCCTTCTTGCCTCCTTTAAACGAAAATTGTATATATTGCTCACTTCCCAAACCACTTCTGCCTCTTCAAGGATCTCTTCGTCGTTCCTATCATCAGAAATTTCATCTCTCGTTCGAGCATTCTCTTCGAGTGTTTCTCTTATTAATCTACGGGCCTCTCTTCTAATCACAACTTTTGAAACCAACGCTCCCATCCTCGCATAAACAAGAATAGAATCAGGAACAATCTAAGAAACGAACCTTTACGAGATGCCCTCGATAGCATTGTTGCTCTACGAGGAATTGTCGTTAATTATGCTCGCTAAGACAATATCAATTGATCCAGGACAATATCTCTTCAGGCCCACAATATGAGTTCGTATAGCCCAGATTGGGCTCGACTAATTCATCCCAACTCAGATCCGTGTTAACTATGGAGCTAAGTGGCCCATTATTCCTAGTGTTTTCCCCCCTTTAACCCAATTGAAAAATAACTAGACCTATGGGGAAAGTCCACCTCAGCAAATAACAACTGACATCTCCTAAATTCCATACTGTCGTTATCATCCATCCCATCCATAGTCGAAATTGCTTCCTCGTTTATCCCACCATTATTGGAATTCTCTTTACTTTCATGCACGAACGATGAAGAGTCACCACCTGGCCTTAAACACGCCGCCTCGAGGGCAACTGCCACAACAAAAATCGAAGCATCACTATTATGACCCTCATCCAATTAAGCTTGGCTAGACATCGAACCACTGTTATTTGTCGGAGACATATTCACTACCTCGTCGCCTTCATCGGAAACTGAAAAGGCTTGATCAAAATTCTCTTCTGAGTCCCAAATGTCGGTGAAATTTATGGTCTCTTCCTCTAAAACACTTTTCGACAGAACACTCGCTACCTCAGGAACCTCCACTTTTATTACAAAAGATTTTCCTCATGATTGGATGCTTATGGAGTTAGGAACGTCAAACCTACTTGCGGCCCTAACCACCTTTTTCGCCGATGACAAGTCCTCCAACTTCCCCATGGATTCATCCAGATCAACAAATGCACCCACCTATTCCCCATAGCCGAGACGAAACTTTAATGCCACAATTACAAGGGTACCCCTTACAAATGCAAGTAAAAAACAAAGAGGCATGGCACGACTTGTCCTTAACGGGAGCAAGGTATTTGAACCAAAAAGCCCAACCATCATCCTTCCCCTCCCAAGTTTCTTCCAATTCACTTAATGAACAAAAAGTTATCATACATGAGTTCTTGTTTCCCCATTTAACAAGCTTAGCATTAATCCCCTCGTTCACCAAAGCTCTTTGGACGAACTTCAAATAAAAACTATCTTTAATTATCCCAAATAATGAATGCTCGATCTATTCCACTTCCTCTAAGGGAATCTAGAACTCCTGCAGACTTTTAGCCTTCTCTCTATCCTTCTCCTGATCGACTTCTGGGATAGAACCCAAAACAACCTTCATACTGTTCGACTTCTGGATAAGTTCCCTGATCAGCTTCTTCCCCCATCTACCCCCTCCCCGACAGGGATTCAACGTATGACCTTGAATCTCTTTTCTCATCCGTATAGACCTTCCTACTTATGTCTAAATTCGATGTTTCTCCCAACTTATTCACTGATGCTGCCTACCTCTTTTTCAAAGAACCTTCGTGGATCTGAGATGTGTACTTTACTTTTGAGACCACAATGACTAGACCATCCACTTAAGCGTTATTCATTTTTCTTATGCAGTTATCCAAATTGGTCTTAGAAGCAAAACGAACAAAAAAAAGCTGAAATCTTTGTACCTCGGATTCATAGTGTTTTGGGGGATGAAAACTTGTCACCCTTTCATAATTTTTTTTGATAGGAATTATAGGCTTCATTAAAAACCCCTTCTTGATTAATGGATCTTTTGGGAAAGTTCCTTAATCAGCGGAGGGAGGAAAAGAATGCCTTAAGATTTTATTGATCAATGGCACAGAACATAATATACAACCATAAGACACACTAACAAAACCATAAAATTTATAGAACACTTAAACAAACCCCCTATACGACCAGACCTCTCAAAAACAATAGCAAAACTATCACATTCCAACAACCTCAATAAAACAAGACCCTACTGAAAACCCTCTAAGGCAATTATAAATATTCATCTAATTCCATGTTTAGCTAAAGTGTCAGCCTCACAATTGTTGCTCCTCGGAATAAGTCTTATAATGATCTCCCTCTCCAAGATTAGGAAAGCAATTTTTTGAACCATCGACCTAAGAAACCGAGGAGATGATGTCGGCAGCAAAATCCAATCCACCACTGACTTACAATCACTCTCAATAATTAACCTTCCTTTCATCGCCCATTCCGACAAGAGAAAGAAGTCAATGTCTTTCTCAATGGCTTTCAGCTCAGCGAGTGGAGAAGGACCTGGACCAACAGCGTGCGAGAAAGACCCAAGAATTTTCCTTTCCGAGTCTCTTAAAATGCCCCCAATTCCCCCCAACATGCCCATCCCCACTGACTGCCCCATCAACGTTAACTTTGAAAAAATGAAGTGGAGGAGAAAGCCATCCCTGAACCTTATTCCTTTTAGGTTCCCTAGCCTGATGCTTGTCAGCAAGTGTAGGGTCCCCAACAAGAGAGTCAACCTGAATGATAACGTTCGGGTACTTAGCTAAGAACCATTTAACCAATCTAAATCTAAATCTGCCGGAGTTCTAGAGTCACCCTTTCATAATGATTGAAAACCTCTATCAAAGCACTTCTCGAAACCCTTTTCCCAAGCTTGAAGACAAATGACGTTCACTCAGCACCGATCCTGGTGCTTAGAGGTGCACAAAAAATCTGAATATCCGATTTTGTGTAAAAAATATCCGAAACCGGATTTGGAAAAAACCGGTTTTTTTTAAACCGGATCGGATATTTTAAAACCGGATAGTATAATCGATTTGAGAAAAAATTGGACGACCGGATTTTTTACCGGATTAAAAACCGGTTTTTTTCAAACCGAAACCGATTACACCGGTTACATCATCCGACCCTCCAAACCGGTTATGATCCGAACCGGTTTTTTTATAAACCGGTTTTTTAGCTTAGTGAAAAAACCGGATCGATTTTTATCCGATCCAGATCGGATTTAAATCCGGCTATGTGCATCTCTACTGGTGCTCCTCTCTTTGAAATCACTTTGCACGCCTTGCCTCATAGTGTTTAGTTCCATAAGTCGAGTTATACCACGAGGAATAGACAGAATGGCTTCCTAAAGAACATTTTATTAATATTAGCGTGAAATGTTAACTGTCCTCTAATTATTGAAAGAACATACAAAAGTATAACACTTTGAATAATCTTACCAAATGATTTTGATTGCAAACGCCACAAGAAAAACGTCGTTATGCGTCAACTTTCATGTTAATAACGTTTATGTACCAACCAAAAAAAAAGTAATTATTTGTTCACGAAAAAAGAAACCTAATGTATTATTTGAACTCTTCTAAAACCCCAAAGAAAAACACTAGTTGGATTTAATTGGAACAAAATGAAAACGTTCTTCAATTTGTGGTAATTACATAGGGAATAAATAACACCGGATGATGAAAAAGGATATTTGAACTTTCGTCAGTCAGTGTTGGCTCAGCTTGCGCTTTTAGGCCATCTTGTTCTTCATCCTCTTGCCTTGCAATTTTAGCACTGCATGGAAAAATGTAATTATATAATAAATGAAGTGCAATTAGGTATACATCTTTAAAGTTGATTAATGAACAGGTTCGGGATCAACATACAAATGCTAGCAAGTGATTTATTTTTAATAAAGAAAAACGGGTTCGGGAAATTTTACTAACCTTCTTCTTTCCTCTTCCCTTATCTCGTCCCAGTTTGCCTCCATGTCACTAACATCATCATCATCACAAACCGGATATCTATCAGTGCTGCAATGGAGTAATCAAATATTAGAAAACAATTTGAAACATTTAAATCAAAATACTGAAAGCAACAAGTGATTCACTCTTCCAGTTAATAAGACATACCTCAGATTTCAATGAAAGGTCCAGGAGGGAGAAACATGACAGGATGGAGATCTTACCGGAACATATTTCTAATCATCAATAAAGCCTTTTCATCTTCACTTAATTGCCTTTTCTTCGGTCTCTGTACATTTGACTTCATTTGAGAATGTGACGTGACTTGCTTCACTGGCTTGTTTGCATGTGGCTTTGATGATACCGGAGGCCTTTGGGGCTTTGATGATACTGGAGGCCTTTGTGGCTTTGATGACACCGGAGGCCTTTGTGGCTTTGATGAAAGTGGAGGCCTTTGGGGCATCATTTTATCCTTGCTACGTTCTTGTGATCCCCGTTTCTGTTCTAAGTTATGTCTTGAATCAGACGAATGCACTTTTGATGGAGGTGCTTTGTGAGCACTGGAAGGGAGATTCCTAGAAGTTGGTGCAGAAATTTTCTTCACCATCTTTGCGATAGGCATCTTGGAAGGAGGCATAGCTTTAGGGCCAACAGGCCGGCCATACCCAGTATCGCTGCTAGAACCAGCAGGCCGGCCAGACCCAGTACCATTGCTTGAACCAACTGGATGGCTACGCCCAATAGAATTGTTAGCACCAGCAGGCCAACCAGGCCTGATGCCATCGCTAACAGGCCGCCCAGGACCAGGACCATTGCTAGCAATAACAGGCCGGCTAGAACCCATACCATTGCAAATACCAGGTCGGTCAGGTCTCATACCACTGCTAAAACCAAGCTGCTTTTTAGAATCCATTGGCATCCCATTTGATTTATTGGCAGAAGAAGACTTGTAGGTGCCAGCTTTAGATTGCAATTGACCCCTCAAAGGAACTGATTGCCTTTCATCATGGGTGCCTTGCAAATTTCTGCCAATATTGTTGTTGTTGTCCAATGGCTGTTTGCTTTTTGGCAACTTTTGAGCTGATCGCACCTCTTCAAAAATCAATTTAAAAATTTGTGTAAGTTGTCTTCGATTTAAGCTTATGAGAAAGAAATTAAATTTAATGCAGTTAATTAGTAATCTACCAGATTTTGGAGTAGAAACATTTCGAGGTGGAGGATCTTTTGAAGAAGTTGGAACCCCTGTATCATCTGAGAGAAATGAGTAATCTCTTGCAACCTTAAGTTCCTCCACTTCCTTCTGAGCTGCACAAGTCCAGAAAATGAAAACATTAGTTACCACATACCAGAGCTCTTTCAAAAGATAAAACCAAATTAGAAGTTCTAAAGAGTAAATACCTTATTTGGAGGTTTGAGTGTCTGGCCATGTTGGGCTTGTTTTGGTTCAGCACTTTTTGAAGCATGGTTCTTTTTACTCTACAGAAAATCGCAAGGTTGTCAATACAAATTCGGAACACCAAGTAAAACTTGGAATCCTTCAATCAGTTAAAAAAAATCTTCAATGAAGGTTACGAAGCTATTAACAAGCAGCATCACATATATATAATGGGCGCAAAATAAGTGAAACAACAACAACAACAACAACAAAACCCTATTCCCATATACAATGGGGTAAGGGGGAGGTAGGGTAGTAGGCTGCCCCAACGCCAGGTTGAAAGCAGCTTCCGTGAAAGACCTCTGGCAGTCAGAAAATTAAAAATAAAGATAGAATGCAATGCATGTATAGTTAAATAAATAAATACATAGTTAAACAGTGTTAATAATGCAGTCTTCAATATGCGCGTCTGTAAATGGGAAGTAATCCCTGCAAATAAATCCCTGCTTAAAACTCTCTGCGATAGACAGAAACGTAAGAACCGACAAAATTTAAAAAGAGTAAACATGAAGAGAATGATACACAGAAGTCGACGATAGCAAACTACGAGAAGGAATAAATAAAATGGGTTAAAACCTAAACAAAGGCAACACTACTCCGCTACCCTAGTTCTAAGCCTCCATAATTTCCAATGACAGAAACGTATAAAAAGTAAAAGTCATGTAAATTACTACAAAGACATTAAAAGAAGACAGAGATGATACACCCTACGGATGTGACCCGCACTACTCGGCTACCCCGGTCTTAAGTCTCCATAATTTCCTATCAGAGGTCATGTCCTCGGTAAGGTCTAAATCCTTCAAATCAGATCTCAAGCAGTCCTCGATAAGTGAAAGATTATGAATATTAAAACCTGACTCCATCTCAAAGCATTAGGCATGCATACTTGGGAATGTAAATGAGACACTTATGCATGGAAGCTACTCAGGTCCGGCTCAATAAAAAGTCTCAAAATTTGGCTTGTACATAACCAAGTCAAACTCAAGTACTTGTGCATGCTAAGGTCAATAATCTTAATACTCAAATCAATTCACTTGCAAGCCAGATGGAACTTTTACATTTTAATATATATTTTATTGTTTTTAATTAATATTAAAAACTTTCAACTCAAACTTGAGTCAGCTTGGCTTGATTAAACCGCTATGCATACTACACTGCAGGAAAAGTGATATACTCGGTTGCAAAACTGTGACATATTTTAAAAACTGTGAAAGATATGGTATAATTATCTAATAGAATAAATAATAACCTCAATAGGTTGATTGAGTTCATCAGATTGGAGTTCGCATAACCATGCATATCAATATAAACACAAAAAACATATATAAGGACTTCACATTAAAAAATGACTTGCTTTCTTGGATAACTCTATTAGAAATAACAGGCTGAGAAGGGCCAGAAAAGGATCCAAAGCTGCAGGACGAAAACATTTGTAAGCTTATTTAGAATAATTACAGTTATGTAAACCTGGAATCGACATACTTAACAAGTACCATAAGTATTGGAAGAAAAGCATTGGTATATTCTAAAATCATGAATCCAGAAAAGTGTTCAAGTGTAACAAAACTTCAACAAAAGAAAATCATTCTGTAAAAGGAAGCACATCACTCACTTGTTGTATGGAAGCTTCTAAGAAGAAGCTAAAGCACTTTGCTTCCTCTTTCGTCTGATAGAGTCTTTCAGCCGCTGTCTTAACTCTAGGTGTTCCAATTCTTCTTGTGTAGGATGTCTGGTTTCTTCTTCCTCTTCCTCTTCCTCTTCCTCATATCCCTCTCCATCTTTTTCCATAGCATCCTCATCTTGATATTCCCCTTCCATATCATAATCATCATAATCCTCAACTTCCTAGATAAAAAATAAGAAATTTCATTAGCAAGAGAGGGAAGAAAGGCCCACATTCAAAAGAAAATGACAGATAATAAACAACTAAACTTAAATTAACTAACGAAGGATACAAAAATTCCCGGATCATGAAGAATGGATATAAAATATGCAAAAAACAATGCTTAAGTTTTATCATTTTCTATAAAGTGAGCAATACACTTATTTCTTCCTTTGAGTAGACTTACTTCTCTATCATATCCCCTCATTGCTCAAGCAAGCACCAATTAACAATAATGGTTCTTTATCGCCTTGAATGAACTTATCAGAAAAAATGTGTGATACCTGAATATCAAACAATCAACAATGTTATTATGTTAATGATTATTGGAAAAATAATGAAATTTTGAAGAAAATTAAATACAAAATTCCTCAATTCTTCTTATAATCTACTTCGTGACTCTAATATTAAGCAATATTCAACCTCTATTAATTTGAATCACTGACCTTCATATTATTTTCTAAAAATATATATATATGAAGTTTTCTGAAGAAAAATTTGCAATTAAAACCCCTAAATTATTTCGGAAACAATGACTATGAAAAACCACAAAAAACCCTAATTATTTCGCAGAAACAGATTCGATTACCCCCAAAGTTGAACAATCTGAAAACGAATCTGTCAAACCTGGTTTAATATCAACCAAATTCGATAACACCGATTCGGTCGATCCAACCAAATCGGTTCCGGAAAGTGGTTAAAAAAGAAAAATACCCAAAACATACGTAAAACGAAATTAATAGATCGGAAAGAGTCGACACATAAAACCTTTAATCGGATCGAAAATCAACGAAATCCACGATTTTTCAAGCGAAAATCCTAAACCAGCGCCTCGAAAGATAGATTTGGATCTGGTTCGAGGGAGAGAAAACGAACCGCAAGTCTTCGATATCCGGAAGTATTGGAGGAATTAGGGAATGATAGGCTTAAATATGAAGGGAGAAAGAAGGTCCCAGAAACGAAAGGCAAAGGGATTGATTCTATCATGCGCTTTTGGATATCAAGGGCACACTTCAATTTTTCCAAGTTCGGTGAGTGAGTCGGTAGTTAACTCGGACCAAGTCCTGATTGGGCAAAACTGAGTTTTATTTTGTAACGAATTTCTTAAAAGGAAAAAAGAAAAGATATTGATCCGGCGCGAAAGATGGCCGTTTTAACTGATACATTCAGAACTGGAAAACCTATGAAATGAAACTCGCGACTCTAAATTATCCTTCCCAAACAAAAACGAAATGAAGAAATCCATAACTTGAAACGGTGCGTTGGGAATATAAAATACGCTGCTGTTCTCCCACTATATTTTCTTCTATCAATTGACCAACGTATAGATCTTTTCAAATCGGATTATATGTGTATAGATGTATTTACGTCATTTCACACTTAATGTAGAAAACGTGCTGAAATTTAAAATTAAGATCATAATACTTCAATTCATCATGTTTACGGACGACATATAAAATTCCGACAACGAACCTCAATTCAGCCTTTAATTATACAAACAATATGTTTTAGAGATTAAATTGAATTTTGTTAATATTTCAAGAATAACATGAATTTTCTAATTTCTAGTTCATACGTGAAATTAAAGTCAAAATATATCTACTGTTGAAATATGGACACAAAATAAGTTAGTATTCGTCCTTAATTTTAAATCCAAAAATTTAAAGACTATTTTGTAAAACATTGCTCTTTGGGAGGTCAGAGGCTAAAATAATTTTAGGGACTTAAATGCAATTTTCAAATATGATCAGTCTTTTTTTTTTTTATGAATCAATTCTTTTTTTCTGGATGGATCAGTCCCTAATCAGTTCATTCATCATCCTTTTCCTATGACTAACTCAGCCCCTGGTTTGCGTTAGTTGTTAGCTAGTTTCCGTAGTTGGTCATTGAAGTAATGTTGTATACAAAGTTCATGTTTGTTAGTTAAGAACGATGAAAGAAGACGACGAATATTTTTCAAGTTTTCCTCTATTTAATTCTTGAATGCAACATCATATGTCTAAAATAAATTAAAATATGAAAAGTTCATCAACATAACTTCATGTTTTAATTCTGTTAATATTTTCCTTCTTTGGCCGGGAGCATTCAAGTCTTTTCCCCTGCTATAGATAGTGTCTTATATTATAGATCAATTTGTCGTCATTAACTTCGCTCCCATGTCCTTATTGATGGTGGTTTGTATGAATTGACCGAGGAAAATGACGTACAATCTGAAAATTTTATATTTCATTTATGAATAAAAGATTAGACAGAAAAAGACGAAGGCTACTTCATCTATGAATTGAAACTGGAGTAACATAACAAAACGTTTTATATATGAAATGGAAACCCAACAAACGACTACATCTTTATAATGCTAAAACTCTTATTTCTATCACATTCATTCTCTTTATGCAAATCGGCTGACCACACTTTCTTCCCTTTGCATTAGAAGTTTGGACCAGCTGCCAGGATCTCCTCGGTCAGCTTCTTGTCTTTGCCAATCTTGTAATTAGTGAACGTCTCGAAGTTGTTCTTGAACAGCCCGGCCAGTTTCAACAGCGTCTCCTACGCCTTCTTATCGGCCCACTGCAAAACAATAGCCAAATACATCAACACCGGTAACATGTTGAAAGAGATATAGTTGAAGAAGCGACTACTTACGGTGTTCTCAAGATGCAAGATTTCGGAAGGCACTCCCTCAATCTCAGTGGGGATGTCTAGCCCAAATACCTCGGTTTTCCGGTAAGTTGCATTCAAGAGGCTACCAGAGTCAATGGCATCAATGATTTTTCGAGTGTACGGTAACTTAATGCGGTTTTCAGACCCATAGAGTAGAGATTGGTTAAACTATTCTGGGAATTACGTTAACTTTTACAATAGCTTGCAATGACCGGTTGTTACCTTCCACCTGACCAGCCACCGTTGCACCATGCTTCAGCATTTTCTCGGCGAGCATGGCTGCATACTTGGTGGGATGCAACATAATGAACGCTGCACCAAAGCAATCTGAGAATGTTGCTATTGGCTCCTTTATACCATCTTCTGTGTATCATCAAACAAGTTCAGTCGCAAGCTGCAAGAAGCAGATGCCTCGATAAAATGCAGCAGAAAGACATAGAACCCTACCAAAGCCGTGTAGCCACTAATGAAATGGTACATGGTTTGAGCCAGACTCAGCTTGCTCACAGGTGGAAGGACACCAATGGCATCGCATGCCAAAAGTACGACATTCTTCGGGTGTGGACCGACACATGGTATCTTAGCATTGGGAATGTATTCAATCGGTAGGCTGCACGAGTGTTCTCTGCAAGCAAAGAAAATCAGTGTTAAAGATTACGTTTATTCTGTAAATCAGAATAACATTGTTCATCTTATCCATTGGTGGTGGCTTCACTGAACCAAGCAAGTTCCTAATGTAAATAAAAATTTTCAGATATTTTTTTTATAATATCTGTACCTGTAACTGATTTGTCGTTGTAATCACCTCCCTTGTATGTTCATCAAAAACTACATTTTTCAACACTGCATAAACAAAGAATTCAAAAGATCAAATCGAGCTTTACAACTGTTTTGCAGTAGTTTGATCAAAGGCCAGAGAGAGCCATAGAATTTTGCCAGTGCCAAACTAAAGGCATTCCAGATATCTGGCTCCTTGTCCCTTGAAAGATCAATGCACTTAGCATAACAACCACCTTCAACGTTCGACACACCATTATCACTCCAACAGTGCTCATCAACTCCAATCAGATACCTGTTGTGATCGGTATACAGAGTGGTCTTACCGGTGCCTGTTTAAGAATCATTGAAGTAAACTCATTAGCAACATACATCTCTTTTTTTTCACGAAACAAATGCGATAAGGATTCAAGTACAAAGTTAGGAGAACACATATCGGTTTCTGGGAGTAGCACCGCAATACGACCTCGATCCAATTATACTATACCTGACAGTCCAAAGAAGAGGGCAGCGTCTCCATGTTTTCCCATATTGCAGCCAGAATGTAAGGAGAGGATTTGACGCTTGGGCATGAGATAATGCATGACACTGAAAAGACCCTTCATTTCCCCGGCGTACTGGGTGCCGAGGATGACCATTTCCCTCCTAGCAAGGTTAAGGTCTATGCTAGGGGAGGATGTCATGTAGTGTGTATAACGATTACACGGGAACTGTCCAGCATTGTATATAGTGAAGTCCGGAGTACCAAAATTCTCCAGCTCTTCAGGACTGGGTCGGATACACCTGTAACCTGCCCAATTATCCAATTGTACACTAAACTTTTACCATTTTTGTTCATCTTATTGCCTCAGGGAATTCTATAGGGATGATGAAACTCAACACATTATAAAATTTTAGAAACTTGTCTGGGATAGACTTAGACCTGTGAAACAAAACAGAAAAGGGGGGATTATAAAATTTTAGAATTGTTTAGTTTTCGCTTACATGTGCATGAACAACGAATGATAGGCTCTGGCAGAGACAATCCGGACTTTGATTCTGTTCTTTGGATCCCAGTTCATGAATTGATCATTCACAAAAACCTGTAACAATTTACGTAATTAGAATCAATATTATGTAAGTAAATGAACAGCAGATATTACATTTTGGTCCTATTCTTTATTTAGCCATTTTGGCCCCCAAAATTTTATTTTAGTACAAAAATTTCTTAATGTTTCATCGAATAGTCACTTTATCCTTTATTTTTATTTTTAGATTATTTTGAACTTCAATATTTCATTTTTAGGGTGAAAAAATCCATATTTTAAAAAGTTAATTGTTTGTTAACTTAAAGATTTTTATTAATAGAAAAGTCTTTTCGCTTAAAATGAAATAGAGAAAATAACCTCAGTGACCGAAAATGCCTTATAATATACGAATTTAACCAACTTTTTTTGGATTTGTCAAAATGACCAACAAATTCGCAACGCGATCTCAAATTCGCAACGCGATCTCAAATTCGCAACGCGATCTCAAATTCGCAACGCGGACTCCAATTTCGCAACCCAGTTTCCAAATTCGCGTTGCGATTTTCCAAATTCGCAACGCGAATTTATAAATCGCAACACAGAAGTCAAATTCGCAACGCGAAAGTCAAATGTTTTTACGCGAACACAATATTAATTTCGCAATACAAATGTAAACAGTATTATCGCAAATCATCTCTAACCTAAAACCCTAAATCACAACTCATCCCCATCTCCATCTCTTACTCTCTACGGCGACATCCGTCCCCATCTCCGACGAAATCCGTCTATCTCCATCTCTCAGAGCAACCCTCACAACCATTCACGGTCAGAAATGGAAAATCAACCACTGAGGGTTAGTTTTTTTAATCTCTTATTTTTATTTTGAAATTTTTGTATTATTATTAGATTTTTCTTATATTGATGATAAATTTACTGGTAATTTCAATATATATAGATTAACCATTTCACTAAGATTGCTTAGTAAATTCATTCGGTTGCTGCCAATACTGCTAAACTGTTTAGTCTTTAACCCTGTGAAGTTAGTATTTGTCTTTGTTTTGTCTTTTTGTTGAAGAAACCCTAAATCGCAACGTGAAAATGAAAATCGCAACGCGATTTTAGTTTCGCGTTGCGATTTTCATTTTCGCTTTGCGAATTTAAGTTTCAGAAACTTCTTTTATTCTGAAAATTGAAACTTGAATGAATTGCATTACTTCAACAAAAAAAAAGACAAATACTAACTTCACAGTGTTGCTAATTTAAGTTTCAAGAATAAACTACTACTCTTTATGTTGTCCTTGAACCTGCACTAAACTTATATGTTGTCCTTTTAAATGTTTATATAAGTGCTTAGTTCTAGAATGTTATTTGATGCATTTTGTGAACTATGATGGAATAATGACTTGGGTGAATACCGTGCTAGTTTGAAATATATTTGGTTTTGTTTTCACTGTTTAATATCATGTCTGTTTATAGTGTATAATAAGGAGTTTTTGGTATATCTAACTGTATGTTTATTGTTTTTGTAGAAATTTTTTTCGGTTGCATTGACCTTAAGGAATAAATTAAGCCTAGCCACTAAAATTGCGTCGACGCTTACACCTCTACAAAGAAAATTGTTTGAGGATACTTGCTTCGGGCCATGGTTGAAAGTGCAACATACGGGTGGAGATGCTATATTGACACATTTGTTTCTTCAGACCATAACTAACGATCTACCCGAGGGGATACAACGTGGTGATGAGGAGATACGGTTTCATTTTCCTCCGGCACATACTTGTTTTGGGCAGGAGGAGTTTTGCTTAATCACTGGTCTACGCTTCGGACACGGTGATGTAGGTCGATACACTAGTCATATCGCCCGCCCATCATGGTTATCTCGGATTTTTCCTGAGCTGGCAAAGTCGAAGCCGATTTTACACGTCGATGACTTGAAGAGATTATTTGATAAAGATGGTTTTACTCGGATGGATGACCCTAATGTTGTCCGAGTATTCCATTTATTACTTTTGCATGCCGAGTTTTTAGGCAAAGAGGGCAGACAACCTATCTCCGAGGACCTAATATTATTGGTAGAGGACCTAAATGCATGGAACCTGTTTCCGTGGGGTTCATATATATGGAAAGCTACCTGGAAGAAGTTGTCGTCTGCCTTTGAGGACCGAAAAAGTTTGCAAGGCGATGGTTCTAAATACACTTTGACATGCTTTACTTGGGCCTTTAAGGTAAGAATTTCTATATAATATTTCCAAAATTATAATTAATTATTTAACAATTACTAATGTTTGTGTATTATATTGTTTGTAGATTTGGATATTTGAGGTTTTCCCTAGCATACGGACATATGCGATAAAAAGATCAAATGATATTCCTAGGGCTATTACCTAGAAGAGGATCTGCATGTTGGATTGGGAAGAGTTACTCCCATATACGACGATGAATGATGTAAGTTAACACACAAATAATACCATATATAAACAAGTTATTACTAGTACAAGTTTAACTTTGTTTGAGCTTTTATATTGCTAGGAGGCCAACTATCCATTACAGAGGCTGATAACCACAGAGGTTGAGCTTGCCATTGATTGGTGGCAAGCTAGTAAGCGGTTTTTTGATGGGACGGATGATGAGCACCCCCTACTTCGAGAGCCATCACATGATCGGGCCGATTCTACAGCTCGAAACCCGGAGCCATCACCTGATCGAGCCTCTTCTCTACCTCTACCATCACCTATTCCATCACATCATCGAGCCTCTTCTCCACTATCACCTCATGATAGGCGACCGGCAAAGAGGCCACGACATATATCTCCCTGTTCTCCACGTCGGTGCTTTGCATCATGAGGTCGGTACTTTACGTGAAGATAATGGTGCATGGCGTGATGAGGTTCGATCTTCACGTGGTAAGGTGGATTTTTTACGTGATGACAATGGTGCGCTACGCGGTGAGGTATCTACTTTACGTGATGAGGTTGCCGCTCTACGCGAGATTGTTTCATTATTGCAGAATGAGGTTCATACTCTACGCAATGAGGTAAATTTGTTTAATACTATACTAAAAATGCAAATAACCTTTTTTCGGCATTATTTATTTATTTATTTACTGATTTATGTATTAATTTATTTTCAGTGGCCCGATAAGGTAGATGTTTTACGTTGGGTTTTTCTTGGACGACGGGGTTCACGCATCAGACGTCGTGCACGTGCCATTACGTCTCCGTTCACCCCACTAGTGCCAAGACTCCGTAAAAATAAGCCTGATGCACCTCCTATCATTCAAGAGGCCCCTCTCATCATCGAAAAAGCCCCTCCCACCGTTCAAGAGGCCCCTTTCATTGTTCAAGAGGTCCCGCCCGCCGTTCAAGAGCCCGATTCACATGGCGTCATATGTCGACATATTGATAAACCCCCTCCTGTGCCTGATATAATAGATGCGAGTTGGCTTTCGTATGTGTTACCGGTAAGTACCATTCCTCAGCATGAGAGAGAAACACTACCGGAAACAATTACGGATAATACCCTTTGGGCTAAGACCGCAGTTAATTTTTATCTACATTAGCGGAGCAAGGGGTGTTATTCTGACCTATGCCAAATCGACGATGCTTTTCATTTGTTTCTTGATCGGTCTTGGTGGGGTATTTTATTAGGGGTTGAAGATAATGGCTATCTCGAAGGGGTGGTAAGTCTTATATTCTTCTTATATTGCATTTTGATTAATTTTTTTTAAATTATTAATAAATTCACTAATATATTTATTTTTTTATAAAACAACATATTGATGCATGGGTGTCACGTCTTCTAATAATAAAGAAATTGAGGAAAAGAAATACTTGATGGACTATTATGCCGACGTCTTTTCACGCAGCTCACTTGAAGGATCAGAGAGATGCTTCATATGCGTTGGGTAATGGAAAAGCTAAACTTTATCCTGCGTGGTGAGAGGTCGATAAGGTTAGTATTTATTTTTTTTGAATATTTTAAAGGTTTTCATAAATTTTATTTGATGTGCACAATTATTTATGATTGCCGGTGTTTATCCCTGTTTTGAAACGTCGTCATTGGCTTCTCGTCGAGCTTCAGCTCTCATCCCTGAAGACAATGGTATATGACAACATGTTGAATTACATATCATTGTCTGATTTGAGAGATATTATTACAAAGGGATGGAGCGATCATTTGGCTAAATACTTGAATGCGGTTTATTATTGGACAAATTCTGGAAACAAGAAGCCAAAGAAGTTCAAAATTACAATGATCAGAGACGAGACTGCGTCACAACAAACGCAGGGAGCCAGATGGGATTGTTGTCCTCTCGTATGCTTGTGCTTGGAACGTTTGACGATAGGAAGTAAACAGTATCTACCTCCCACAGATAGAGATAGAGGTGCAGTAGGCTTGTGGTTTCGGCATTATATGGCCAGATTGATATATACGAGATGCTGCCTACCTGCATCCGCGTGCTGAAAGTGTGCATAAACAATTGGTAAGTTTGAGCAAGTGTTAACATAGATACTCTTTAATTGGTTTGAAAATATTTGGTTAAGTACCTAGAATTCAGTAATTTGCTGTTTGTTGGTTTTAAATGTGTAGAAAGTGTTGTTTGAGCAAATGTTTGGTTTCTGAAGGTTAATCCTGAAGTGAGCTTCGTGAAATTGATGTATTTGTGCATAAACAACAGTCTGGGGTACACTTTTTTTGCTTTGTTTAATTGAATTTTACATTTAAAGTTGATTTGTTTAATTGATGAGGAAATAAGATTTATTTTTTGATTAATTGATTTGCA